ACTTCATGAGTCAAGAAGCTCTACTAAATCTGCTCCTTTTGACAGAACGACGAGAGTGACGTCGAGGCTCCGGCGGCAGAGAAGAAGGCTGAAGAACCTGCAGCAGCTACCGCTGATGAAAGTGAAGCGACGGAGGAGCAGCTAGCAGTTGAGCCCTCCATTGCGACGACCGAGCCAAATCACACGGCCGAAATCCTGGAGCCTGAGGCTGCAGAGGATCCCCAGACACATCCACAGGTGGTGGAAGAAGAGAAACATGTGGATCCTGATTCAGTTCAGGTTACTGTTGTTGATTCTGCTGAAAGTGTTGAAGAGAGCAAGGTCGTCGCCGATGCGTCTACCTGAATTATTATTTATTTATTTTGAGGAAATATTTGTGCCCCTGAGATTGATAATGGTATTTTCTTGTTCATTTCCGTGCTGAAACGCTCAGTTTCTTTTTTCTTTTTGTTTTTCTGTGTATGCATTGCATGCCCGGTGGTGTAATATAGATTTTATTGTCATTTCTCTGTTTATGCCACCTCTTCAGTACACTAGATCTTATTGTCATTTGACGGTTTATGCAACCTTAGGGTATCTTCAATGTCGACCCACAAATTTTCTCCTGCATCTGTCAGCGGATACGGATGCGGGAGGCCGCTATCCGACCATAGCCGCACATATTTCAAACTCTTTTCCAACAAACCGGATGAAATTCATGCAAACTAGACCGGATTTTAAATAAACATGACGGATTTCATTCAAACCAGACTAACACGGTTACATTTTGGACATATTTTCAACTAAAAACAAAACCGAACTAGCCTATGGCCAGCGTCGGCATATATCCATTCCGACGACATGATATCCTCGACTAGTCTACTGCCAGCCGCGGCGGGTCTCTAACGTCGTCCCCATGACCAACAGTGGTGAGGCCCAGAAGTATATGCTTCAGCACAAAGGACGACTCGCTTCCCCATCGCTCATCGGAGTGGAACCGCCGCCTGATGCTTCAATCGGAGGGGAAGGTTCCCTACGCTGCACGAACCAAGGTTGGTTCTTAGATAAGGGGATGATGGTGGCCGGCAGGAGGGCAAGACACCGACCTTCATGGGACCCAAGCGGCGGCGGCCTCCCGTGTTCTACTTCTCCTCGATAATGGCGGCGAGCATGAACGTGTTGGCCGCTAGCTCGTCGATATCCGCGCAGCCGGCTTCTTTCTCTGCCTGCATGGCGAGGCTACGTACGTGCGCATCGCGGCGGATGGCGCGGTCGCAGGTGCTGGAGGCGTGGTACGACGCAGCGTTGTCGACGGCAGCGACGATGCCCGTGCCGCCAAGCTACCTGACGTGTCGGCCTGGAGCAACTCGTCACTCCTCCGCGAGCTGGCTTGGAGTAGCGAGATGCAGAACCATGCGCCAGCTTGGGGCGGTGATGTCTACTACACAACTTTTATTCTTGTAGACGTTGTTGGGCCTCTAAGTGCAGAGTTTTGTAGGACACTAGCAATTTTTTCCTCAAGCGGATGACTTAAGGTTTATCAATCCGTGGGAGGCATAGGATGAAGATGGTCTCTCTCAAACAACCCTGCAACCAAATAACAAAGAGTCTCTTGTATCTTCAACACACCCAATACAATAGTAAAATTGTATAGGTGCACTAGTTCGGCGAAGAGATAGTGATACAAGTGTAATATGGATAGTAGATATAGGTTTTTGTAATCTGAAAATATAAAAACAACAAGGTAGCAAGTAACAAAAGTAAGCAAAAATGGTATTGCAATGCTTGAAAACAAGGCCTAGGGTTCATACTTTCACTAGTGCAAATTCTCTCAACAATGATAACATAATTGAATCATATAACAATCCCTCAACGTGCAACAAAGAATCACCCCAAAGTTTCTATCGAAGAATGTAGGACGAATACGTGCATCAACTCCTATGCATATATTACCCCAATGTCACCTCAGGAATCCGCGAGTTGAGTGCGAAAACATAGATCAAGTGTATCAATAGAACGTCCCATTATCACCACAGATATCCCATCGCAAGACATACATCAAGTGTTCTCAAATAAAATACTCAATCCAACATAACAAAACCTCAAAGAGCAAGACTCAATTCATCAAAAGAAGGTAGAGGGAGAGAAACACCATATGATCCCACTACAGTAACAAAGCTCGTGGTACATCAATATCGTGCCAAATCAAGAACACGAGAGAGAGAGAGAGAGAGAGAGAGAGATCAAACATAGCTACTAGTACATACCCTCAGCCCCGAGGATGAACTACTCCCACCTCGTCATGGAGACCGCCGGGATGATGAAGATGGCCTCCGGTGATGGTTTCCCCCTCCGGCAGAGTGCCGGAACGGGCTCCTGATTGGTTTTTCGTGGCTACAAAGGTTTGCAGCGACGGAACTTTTGATCTAGGTTTTTTTGGGGTTTTTGGTATTTATAAGAATTATTGTGTCGATCTCACGTCAAGGGGGTGCCCGAAGGGTCCACAAGCTGAGGGGTGCGCCCTAGGGGTGGGCGCACCCCTAGGCTTGTGGCCTCCTCGGTCACTTCCTGGCCCAGCTCCGGTGCTTCGGGTGTCTCTTTTGGTCCATAAAAAATCACCGTAAATTTTCAGCCCATTTTGAGAACTTTTATTTCTACACAAAAACGACACCACGGTATTTCTACTAAAAACAGTGTTAGTCCGGGTTAGTTCTAATCAAATCATACCAAAACCATATAAAATTGTTGTAAACATGGCATGAATACTTAATAAATTATAGATACATTGGAGACGTATCAGCACCCCCAAGCTTAATTCCTGCTCGTCCTCGAGTATGTAAATGCTAAAAGAAATAATTTATGAAGTGCGAATGCTACCTAGCATGTTTATCAATGTAATCTTTCTTTGTTTGGCATGAATATTCAGATCCATAAGATTCAAAACAAAAGTTTAATATTGACACAAAAACAATAATACTTCAAGCATACTAATAAAGCAATCATGTCTTCTCAAAATATCATGGCTAAAGAAAGTTATGCCTACAAAATCATATAGTCTTGCCATGCTCTATCTCCATCACACAAAGTATTTTATCATGCACAACCCCGATTACAAGCCAAACAATTGTTTCATACATTTAATGTTCTCAAGCTTTTTCAATTTTCACGCAATACATGAGCATGAGCCATGGATATAGCACTATGGGTGGAGTATGGTGATGGTTGTGAGGAGAAGACAAAAAGGACGAAGTCTCACATCAACTAGGCAAATTAATGGGCTATGGAGATGCCCATCAATTGATATCGATGCAAGTGAGTAGGGATTGCCATGCAATGGATGCACTAGAGCTATAAGTGTATGAAAGCTCAAAATAAAAACTAAGGGGTGTGCATCCAACTTGGTTGCTCACGAAGACCTAGGGCAATTTGGGGAAGCCCGTCATTGGGATATACAAGCCAAGCTCTATAACAAAAAATTCCCACTAGTATATGAAAGGGACAAAATAGGAGACTCTATCATGAAGAACATGGTGCTAATTTGAAGCACAAGTGTGGAAATGGATAGTAACATTGTCCCTTCTCTCTTTTTCTCCCATTTTTATTTTTTATTTTCTCTTTTTCTTGGGCTCTTTGGCCTCTCTTTTTTATTTGAAGTCCGGAGTCACATCCCAACTTGTGAGGGAATCATAGCTTCCATCATCCTTTCCTCACATGGGACAATGTTCTAATAATGATGATCATCACATTTTTATTTACTTACAACTCAAGAATTACAACTCGATACTAGAACAAAGATATGACTCTATATGAATGCCTCATGCATATGAGAACAATATGACAATGATGGTATGTGTCATAATAAAATGGAACGGTGGAAGTTGCATGAAAATATATCTCAGAATGGCTATGGAAATGCCATAATAGGTAGGTATAGTGGCTGTTTTGAGGAAGGTATATGGTTGGCTTAATGCATCGGTGAAAGTTGTGCGGTACTAGAGAGGCTAGTAATGGTGGAAGAATGAGAGTGCGTATAATCCATGGACTCAACATTAGTCATAAAGAACTCACATACTTATTGCAAAAGTTTATTAGCCATAGAAGCAAAGTACAAATACACATGATACTAGGGGGATATATTGGTAGGAAAAGACCATCGCTTGTCCCCGACCGCCACTCATAAGGAAGACAATCAAAAAAATCATGCTCCGACTTCATCACATAACGGTTCACCATACGTCCATGCTTCAGGAATCACAAACCTTAACACAAGTATTTCTACCAATCCACAATTACTCACTAGCATGACTCTAATATCACCATCTTTATATCTCAAAAAATATGCAAGGAATCAAACTTCTCATATATTCAATAATCTTCATGAAAGGCTTTATTATACCCCACTTGGATGCCCATCATATTAGGACCGAATTCATAACCTAAGAAAATTGCCATACTATTTTTAAGATTCTAAAAATAATATAAGTGAAGCATGAGATTTCATCAACTTCTATAAAATAAAACCACCGTCGTGCTCTAAAAAGATATAAGTGAAGCACTAGAGAAACCACCTAGCTCGAAAAATATAAGTGAAGCGCATAGAGTATTCTAATAAATTCATGATTAATGTGCGTCCCTCTCAAAAGGTGTGTACAGCAAGGATGAATGTGACAAACTAAAAAGCAAAGACTCAAATAATACAAGATGCTCCAAGCAAAACACGTATCATGTGGTGAATAAAAATATAGCCTCAAGTAATTTTACCGATGGATTGAAGACAAAAGAGGGGATGCCATCCGGGGCATACCCAAGCTTAGATGCTTGGTTGTCCTTGAATATTACCTTGGAGTGCCTTGTGCATCCCCAAACTTATGCTCTTTCCACTCCTTCCATAGTCCATCGAAACTTCACCCAAAACTTGCAAACTTCTAACACAAAACTCAACAGAAAACTCGTGAGATCTGTTAGTGAAACAAAGCAAATAACCACTTTTAGGTAGTGTTGTAAATTCATTCCAATTTTATATTGGTATTATATCTACTATATTCTAACTTCTCCATGGTTCGTACCCTCCGATACTACCCATAGATTCATCAAAATAAGCAAACAACACAACAAAAACAGAATCTGTCAAAAACAGAACATTCTATTGTAATCTGGACAATGACCATACTTGTGTAAATCCAAAAAATTAAAAAATTAGGACAACGTGGGGAATTTGTATATAAATCATGTGTAAAAATTTAGATCAAAAAAATGTTTATGAAAATTTACAAAATTCCAGAACTGAGCGCAAATTTTTCTGTTTTTCACAGAATCAAGTCAACTATCATCCACACTATCCTAAAGGCTTTACTTGGCACATTATT